GTTGCCAGGTTCCTCCAATTCTTGTTCAGAAGATATTTTCTCAGATATTTTCATATATCAACGTACAACTCTTCAACAGGTGATTCAGTTTTCCTTTTTTAGTTTCTTATAACGATTTCAGGATGGAGGATTAGATATCAGTGGATAGTACTAAGAGAGATTAAGAAGCTAAAATCCTATTCACTATTCCATTCCTGTCTAATACTGTGCTTGATAGGACGAGATAGTCTAATGAACATGATTTTAATTTATATTTGTTCCTAAATAATGTGCAATATTATGTAATCCTTTCTACCAAACATGCCATTGAAGTCTTGTTCTATATTTGTTATTGTGAGAGGCTTATTAATTTTATCAAATGTGTTCACTCTGCAGTCTACTTCTACGTCGTGAGTGTTGTACATTCAGCAACGGTGAGTACGTGAAGGCAGGGTTGGCTGAGCTAGAGCTCTGGTGTGCTCAAGCAAAAGAAGATGTAATTAACTTCCATGAACAAAGCATTTTCTTATCATGATTCTTTTGGTCAAATTATGAAGTGCTTTTTCCTGCTTTACTGTACCACATTTCACGAGTTCTTTCTTGTGACACCTTTAAATTCTTGGATTGCAGTATGCAGGCTCAGCTTGGGATGAACTCAAACACATACGACAAGCTGTTGGGTTCTTGGTGAGTACTTTCTCTTTCCCAGTATGACCCTTCTGTTGACTGAAGAAATGATAGTCATTGGAGATATTAAGGACTGGTGGTTATTATGATATTCCCCAATACATCTGTTACCAGAAGTTCAAATCCCAGAAGAAGCCAAATATTTGCACGTTGCTCATTGTTAGATAGAGATTCATATGGTCTTCGTAATTTAGGTACAGTAGAATTGTTGGTCGGTAGAATTTGTGGTCCTATGTCTCAACCCCCACTCTACTATTAAAAATAAAAATGAAAACCAAAATCCTGGACAGTATGCTTTGCAAAGATAACTTGCTATGATGAGCTGAATTAGTTCCAAAAATTTGATGTATGCTAATAAAATAGTGGTTGACTAAGACCAGATAAAGACTTCAAGGTTTGAATGATAGTACTTACCTGGCTTTTTAAAGTTAAGGAACCACAATAATTTTGAACAACTGCAAACAGTATTATACCTCTGCTATGAAGTAATGGGTACTGAGTTGACCATTGAGGAAGAGATAGTTCTTTAACTATTTGAAATTGTTATCAATGTTCCGGCGTTGTATAAACAACTTATCCATGCTTAAGACTTTTGGCTATGTAACACTCCTCTCCAGTGGTAGGCTTGCAACATTTTTAGTTTTACTTCGTTCTTTTTTGTGCATGCAGGTTATACATCAGAAGTACAGAATATCTTATGACGAGATCACCAATGATTTATGTCCTGTAAGTCGAACCCCCCCCCCCCCCCCCCCCCCCC